TTGAAGAGTACAGGTCCAAAGACTGAACCCTGCAGGACCCCCCTACCCACATCCTTCCAGGTTGATACCAGCCCATCTACTACCTCTCTGAGTGCAACTGCTAAGCCAATTTGCCACCCACCAGACCTTGTAAACATCTATGTCACAGCCTCTTAATTTATTGATGAGAATGGGATGAAGGCCTTGCTAAAATCCAAGAAAATGACATCCACCTCCACTCTTGTGCCTAAACATTTTGTGACCCTGTCATAAAACAAAACCAGATTGGTCAGGCATGATCTACCTGCTACAAATCCATGCTGGTTTCCCTGCTGCATTCTTTTTCCTGCTGGACCCCCACAAATATGATCCTTCATAATCTTTTCAAAGACCTTTCCAAGGATGGAGGTGAGACTGACTGGCCTATAATTACTTGGATCCTCCTTCCTCCCCTTCTTGAAAATAGGGACCACATTGGCCCTTTTCCAGTCCTCTGGGACCTGACCCGAGTGCCACAAGTGCTCAATCAGCTGTGCCAGTGATTCTGCTCTGACACCAGCCAATTCCTTCAGTACTCTCAGATGCAGCTCATCTGGGCCTGCTAACTTAAACACACGCAGTCCATCCAAGTAGCTCTGTACCAAATCAGCGTTGACGGTTGGTGGGCTGGTGTCCCTCTGATGCCCATTTAAGGACCCATTAGGAGATTTATCTTGGGCCCTGTTCAGGAACACAGAGGCAAAAAACTCATTGAATAGCTTAGCCTTGTCTCCCCTGTCTGTCACTAATTGCTCATTTTTGTTCAGTAGGGGTCCTATGCTGCCCTGCGCCTTCCTTTTACTCCCTACATACCTAAAAAAGACTTTTTGTTGTTTTTAATTTGTGTTGCCAGCCTCCGCTCTGTAGTTGCTTTGGCTTTTCTAACTGCCTCCCTGCAAGTGCGGGCCAAGTAGGTATACTCCTCCTTGGTAGCTTCCCCCTGCTTCCAGTGCCTATATGCCTTCTTTTTTGCCCTTAGGCTCCCCTGGATTTCCCTGTTTAGCCAAGGAAGATTTTTAGCTCCTTTCTCCCTTTTCCCTCATACTGGAATAATCTCCCTCTGTGCCTGAAAGATTGCTTCCTTTAGAAACGACCCCCCTTCCTGGACTCCCATCTTGCCAGTACTCTTATCCTGCAGTGTGTCATTGCCAGTACTCTTATCCTGCAGTGTGTCAGTGTCATTGTAAGTGCAATGAAGTTAGCCTTCCTAAAGTCAGGCACTTCCACCCTACTAGTTATCGTACTCACCCTATGCCATATGGTGAATTTGATTGATTGGTGGTCACTGTCCCCAAGGTGACCACAAATCTGCAGCTCCCCTACCAGGTCCTCCCCCGTAGCCAACACCAAGTCCAGCAAGGCATTCCCCCTAGTGGGACTGTATACCTCCTGCATTAGGTGAAGGTCCTGCATGCAGGTTAAGAACCTATGTGAACAGTTAGATTTGGCTGACTGCTCCTCCCAGCGGATGGCAGGGTAGTTTAGGTCCCCCATGACAATCATGTTCCTAGACTGTACGGCCTCTCAGAGCTGCCTCAAGAATTCCAAGTCTAGCTTTTCCTCTTGGTGTGGTGGTTTGTAGCAGACCCCCACCACCAAGTCCCTTTCCCCTCGACCTCCATGTATCCTAACCCGCAATGCGTCAACTTTCTCCTCCTCTCATCCCATTTTGATTAGGGTAGATGTATAATGCTCCTTTACATAGCAAGCAACCCCGCCCCCTTTCCTCCCTAGTCTGTCCCTTATGTACAACATGTACCCCTCAATGTGTACCGCCGAGTTATAGGTAGGGTCCCACCAGGCTTCCGTTAGCCCTACTACATCGAAGTTATTATCTGCAAGCAGAAGTCTGAGTTCTTCCCCGTGTTCCTAGCATTAGTATAGAGGCACTTCAGCCCTCCGGATGGTGCCTTGGGTACTTACCTGGGGTGTACTGCTGCATGCCTTGTAATGTTTAGTAATAGACTTGTTTTGGAGCAAAAATTTTTAAGGACATTCATTGCTTTCTTTCACTGTATTATTTATATGTAGATTTTTAATATTTGTCTCTTTATATTGCAGGATGCAAATGTAAAACTGATTCGAGAACTGCGAGAAGAAATTGACAGATTAAAAACTATGCTAATAAGCTTTGAGCTGGTGTGTATAAATTCTTTTTCTAACTGGACCCATGGTGATGCTTTCAGTAGTTGCAGAAGCACAATTGTCTGTATTACACCTTGATAAATATCTGTTAAATGGAACCTCTTCATTCTTTGAAGAACGCCCCTGTTGTGTCTAGGGGGGCTACTTGCATTCTGCCATCATCTCTTAACAAATCCTCAGTGTGAGCTGTTGAATGTTTATTAGAAGGGATTTCATTTCTTTTTTTAGGTAGATAAACTTATTGTGCTAGCCAGATAAATCCCTGGAATGAAATTTCCACTCCAGTATGTGGTCCAGAAGCACCCCACTAATGAGACAGAGATGCAATATTAATAACTATTGAAGACCACTGCCACACTTGTCACAATCTTCTTCCAAGAAAATGAACTAATAGACCGTGAGTAGTTTTAGGTTCCCAGGAAGGCTACACTCACTTAGAGAAGATTTCTGAGCCTTTATCTAGCTAGCATTCTTTACTGTTTCTGGTGTTTCCTCCTTCATGGAACTGGATATGAATTTTGTCATTTTTGTTAACCCTACATCTTACAGTAAAACCCTCCATGCTGGATGAGATAGAAACTAACTAGCTTTGAGCTCTGCCACATGGAAGTGACATTGTGGAAGCAGTTCTAAGCCATTCTTTCACAATGATTTATAGGTAGTAACTAGTGGAAGGAATTCAATGAATAAATTTGGAGGGTAAAATCAAATGTCTGCATACCTGTCTTTATGTTCCTGTGCTTTGCCTTCCTGAAATCAGTCTTTGACATATATGTTTGCCTGAGTTATGGATAAGGAAACAGACACAGAGATCTTTGTAATGTTTGTTTGTTCAGAGGAACTCCAGTCCTTCATGGAGTGATGACAGAGATGGAAATCTGACAGAATTAGTTCTTCAGAATGAAATGAAGGTAAGTATATTCTCTTTAATTCCTTCTGCCAGTTTGGTAAGGGTTAATGACATACTTTTAAACAGCAGCAAAAATTATCCCGTGTCTAACCTTTCCTGCTTGCTGTTTCATTCATTGACAGTTTTTCATATAACTTTCAATCTGTTAAATACCAGGTGCCCACCCTTCAGTTCTCACTATTGCAGTGAGCATTTAAAATGTTCTTAGTAGCACCTGGAATATCAATCACACCTCTTTATTTAAGGATTGTTTATAGTGTCCCATTGTAGTAGCGAAGTGCTTTTCAGATAAAATAGATATATGTGATAAAGTCATGAGTGGATTTGAAGAAATGTTTTACCCTTTTCTCTGGCATCATTAGGAAGAATATAACATTAAAAGTGGAACTGTTCTGTGTTGTCAGTTTTCTGTAAGATGTTAGCTTCTGTGCTCCACAAGAATGCATGCAACTTATGGTCCTGTAAAACTCCTAAATAAATGATGTTCTGCTGAAAACTCTGCCTCTCACTGAACAGACAACCTAGGCAGTAGCAGTGCAAGCTTTTACACACTACCCTATCAATTACCTTACAGCCTGACTGAGAAGGATCCATCTAGGATAGCGGGGGCATTATTTCTGTTAACATAAATAAGATAGAAATTAGATTTTTGTCTGCACCCGTTGTTGTCACAAGTAGCACTTGAATTTGACAGAATGAGTCAGTTTTGCTCTTTTCACTTGCCAGCCCATAATCATGGAAGAAACTAACTAGTGAAAGCAAACTCTATAAACATCAGCAAGGGAGCAAAAAAAATCTTTACCATTTGTTTTAGAGAAATATTTAATAGCATTCACTATTTAGAAAGAGCTTAGTGAGAAAATGATTTTTTTAAACAATTTGGTTCATTCTGAAAAATATAAGTCAACAGTGTCCATTAAGTTTGCTTATCCTGTTCAGCTGGAGACCTGTCTAGTAAGGTTGCTGAAACAACATGCCAGACATGGAAATAAATTTGTGAAATTTGTCCTTTAGAATACGAACTGAGATAACTAACATGTTTCTCACGCACACAAAAAAAAAGCCATGCAGTTATCAGATGGAAATGACAGCTGATCACCACTGACTTGTATGTATTTGAAGATCTTTTTTTTAAAGCTTTAGAACAGTATATAAGAATAAACAAAGTGGTTTTTTTAAAGGTTAGGAAAATATGCTGACATTGTATCCTTTTATTTTGTGGGGATAAGGTAAGCATTTTGAATGGGTTTACAGCTCAGCTTCTCTTTAAGTTAACTTCTTCTGACTTTCCTAAAGATTGACCAACTGACCAAAGATTGGACCAGTAAATGGACTGATAGGAAAGCCATCATGGAAGAGTATAGCGTTGATATCAACAAAGAAAAGGTTGGAGTGACAATAGATTCCAATTTACCTCATTTAATGGCCATGGATGATGATATCCTCAGTACTGGAGTTGTGCTCTATCATCTCAGGGTAAGTCACCTTTGCCATTTAATTTTTTTTAACTTACATCAGATACAGTTATTTTTGGGATAGAGAACATGTTGGTGGCCAAACACCATTAATTATCAAACAACAAGAAGCTGTGTCATAAGTCATACTGATAACAGGAAAACAATGAAAGCAGTACAGCTGAAGGGGGAAATCAGATCTTCTTCACCACCTGTCCTATAACAAGCAAGACAGTTGGTCTAAGTATTAAGCTGACTTCTATCAGTGCACATGCAAAACTTGCTGGAAAATCTCCACGGATAGGCATGAGCAAACTAGGTGCTCGACTACACAAAATAGATACTGAAATAGCCACTGGCACCTAGACGGGTGCATGACTCCCTTGTAGGTCCAGTCAGTTGTGTATGTGCCAAAGTGTACTTGCAAAATTAGAAAAGGAAATTTAAAGTTTGGTTTATGTATGTGGTATATGGTATTCTTACAGTATAGGTAAATAGAATGGTAAACTGATACTGTAGTAGCAGTATATGGGCACATATGCACCAAAAATTTACTGTTCCAGGCAGTGATCTCCTCAGATATGCTGTGCTACTCTAGATATGCTGTCTCCCAAATCTGAAGTAAGGTAGCTGTGTTTGCATGGTGCCATACCTAGGCTGATCATTCTCTGTACATTGCAAACATGGCTTACCTGCTTCCAAGTTACACATCACAACAGTATAGCATGTGTGATGGTAGTGCTGCTGGGCTTGGTACGTTTGTGTTGTAGATAACCCCTATAAATAATTACATTTTCACAGTCTAAACTTTCTGTCAGCTCCATAGGGTGAATCTCAGATGAGCAGTTTAAATTAAGTCTTAGTTTTTCATTACAGTGAATGAATGGTGTCCTTTGGGTCTTTCTGAGCCCACTGAAGTTGATCTGAGTTTAGCCATTCAGTAGGCACGTCTACCTGTGTACTTTAATGCACAGTAGACTAATTTACCGTGCAGTAAAGCATCATTTTCTGCACATGCACAGCAATTGGGTGACATAAACTAATTTACAGCACCATCAAATAGTTGCATTAGACTAGAGTACTATCCAATGTGTGCTTAAATGTACGTGTAGACAGTGATGTTGGGATTATCTTACTCTGGCTCAAGTTGCACCCAAGTTTATTCAGTTGCATTAATTGCACATGTAGACACACCCAGTAAACCCAAGATTTCACCTCATCTGTTTCCATAATGTCAAATCTATGTCTCTTCCATATCAAGATTAATAAAAGCTCAAATAAGTGTGGTTTGGGAGGTGAAAAAAACAGAACTCTTTTTTTAATCCACCTCAAGATGAAGTTGGATTCCAATGTTCTTACACTGTTTTAATAAAGTCAAGTTCTGCTGTAAAAATTCTGTTTCAGCCTTAATATAGAATGAGTGTTTGGTAACTGTTATTTTGGGTGCCTATGAAATTCTACATGCAACAAACACCTTTTCCCTGTAAACCAGCTGCTGAAAACTCAAGTGTTCATTATATGAGAAAAGTCTGGTAAGAGCAGGTTCTGTCACTTACCTAGCTAAACCAAAAGTAAAATCTGAAGAAATTCACAGGGAGCAGAACACTGAGCAGGCTCTGCTCCCTAGCTGTTGCTACTCAGTATGTGCTGTATGCAAGAAAATATGGTATATTCAGGCTTCTGCTAATAGAAGGACCCTAATCCAGAGATAAACATCTAATCCAGATATAAACACACATTTTATGTTGTTTTGGGAAAACTGGGTTTTTTGCGTTCCATTTAAAAAAAGTCGGACTGTTCAAGCCAAAAGTAATACTACTTCCCTATGCTTCATTCTGCTTTAAACCACTCGAACATCAGTTAAGTTTTATAGGGCAAGATTTTCAAAAGTGAGTCATGCATTTACAGGTCAGTTTCCCTCTTGTTGTCCATTTTTGAAAATGAGACTTTGGGCTTCTAAACCAGTTAGGGCCAGGTTTTTAAAAATAACCAGGCACCTAAACATATAAAACAGTGCTTTGTGAGATTTTCAGAAGGGCTGACATGCCTAACTCTGACTAAAATCAGTGTGAGCTCTGTGCTCTGTAGCACTAGTTTTCTGTCTCTTTCAGTCATTTCAAGGTCTGACATTATAGGAACAAAATCATGAGAACCGCAGTGGTTGTTATATTATTCATTGGTGTAACATTTTCGCAGACATTTAAGTTATTTGATGTTTATAGACTGTTTATTTTCTTGATATAAATTTACTAACCCAGTTGTAAAATCAAGCCAACTGTTCTTGAAAGCTTCCATAACAGTGCTATATGTTGAGATGGCTTCAATTCAAGACAAGCGTGCAAGATTTGAATGAGCAAATCCTGCATCTTATATTCTTTCATTTCCATTTCTACACTAACTCTTCCATTGTTCTTAATTAGTCTTTGAGTAACGAGCACCTTTTAAATGGTGAGAATGCTTTGCTTCATTCACATACTGAGACTACATTTATTCTATCTTAATATCTGTGTTAACTGCCTCAGAGGAAGAATAAAAAGTCTGATGTAGCAAAATTTGCTTTAGATGCCTGTGAGCTTCCCTCCCCCTCCAAAGCCATTCTAAATTAAAATTAAATGGCTTTTAATATCATCAAGTGCATAAAAGGCTTTGGGGCACAATCATAGCAAGTTTCAGGGTAGTAAAAAATTTGTTTGGGACTCAGGTTGCTGTTACACAAAAGCATCTATGCTCTCAGTTATACTGGGCTAAGATGCCTGAAAATTGGGTGGTAATAAACAGAAATGAAGCAGGGCAGAGTACTCTAGTGAGCAGGATGATTCAGTAGTTCCCATCAGCTTTGCTCTGTTGAACATGTAATAGGTGTTTACAACCACATGAATGGCTACAGTATAAACATCTTTGCACTCCGTTGGAGTCAATCATCTGTGGGGCACAAGGAATGTAATTTATTCCTCTCTGTTTCCACTTTTCTGTATTCAGCTAATGTCTGCTAATTCCAAGACAGTTTAGGTCTCTACATTGTATTTCAAGAAATTATACATTTAATGACTAAATCATCCCCACACAGTCATCTTTCTGGATTGACTTCAGGTTTAAAGGGCTGAGCTTTCAAATGATCCTCTATATGAACACACACCATACATAGCTGGAAGCACAGAGGGGTTTTGCCTCATAGTTGGTAGGTGCAGAATAGAGGTCCATTTGAGAATTTGGCCCAAGATTTATTCATTGCAAAGATGCATGTTTCAAGAGTTAGTCTTGCATTTTCATTTGTCTTTTTTTCACACTTGGAAATTGTAGCCTAGACAGACAATTGTGCTTGTGGATATATTTTTTAGTGAACCTCTCTCTGAGTTTGAAGTGCCTGATGTTTTAGCTGAATTAAATATGTAGACAATAACCTTCCCTGTCATCTTAAAAAGATTTGCCAAACTGCACTTGCACAGTTTCAGCATATTAGTCTCACAAAAAAAGATTAATTACTTCTGTGATGCTGTGATATCACCAAGGTAAACTCAACCAAAGGTGTCATCACATGGCACAGGTTGCAGAGGTGTTGCCACCAGCATATAGTCTGCCACATTGTGGTTTTTCAGTTGTTTTAAAATAAGTGATGAAGAAGGCAGTATGTCAATATTCTTATTGAATCTTGACTATATTAATCCTGACTTTATTCACAGAAAGTAAACACTACTACTTAAAACATGTTTTTTAACCAGTTCCTCCATATTATTCTGTACTCATTTGGAGACTGTAAACTATTCCACATTACCTAAAATAGCTTAATGATATCCATTTTAGTGAAGAAAAGATAGTTATAAAGATCGCCAGCAGGGCTCTTATCAATGTCTCTTATTAAGTCTCTCACATACACTAACATCTTTGTCCCCTCTTTCTTTGCTCCTAGATGCTGCCTTTTCTTTTCTTTGTACTTTGCATCTTTTAGACTTTGTTTCCTTCATCTGAACACCAAGAAGGTAAAATATATTGTGTCTCTCTGTTTTTGTGCTCCTATGTATTATGGCTTTGCACTGTCATCTTGTACTTTTTTTTAGTGTAAAAACAGCTGTCTTTGAATCTAACTGTTATTCTTATTGCTTCTTAGCATTGTGTGTTCTAATCAACTGATTCCCACCAGCATTCTTAGAAATGCACTTCATTCAAAAGCTTATCTAACTTTACTCCAACCATGTAGTTGAACCCATAAAAGATATTCTCAAAAAGAATCCTTGCCTCTCTTCAGTGAGAGAAGTCTCTTTTAATTTTGATATTTTTACTACTTATATTCAAAAGATTTTATAAGAGCTCAGTGACACACTGATAACAAAAGACAACTAATAAACATATGTCCCCCCTTTTTTGATTTGCAGTATAAATTTTGGGATCTGTTTTATTTGTTGAGAAAGGATTAGTGCCTTTACATTGCGAAGTCTTTTAAGATTCAGTATGCTCCCAAGAATGAAGCAAAGAAATATTCCCTCACCGAGAAGTGCTGCTGTTTCCGTAGTAGTCTCCAGGAAGATCTGTTCCTGTTCATGGAGCTTTGGAATGAGGACATTTACACTGTGAAACACTATTTCTGTACAGTAGATGGAAGTTCTTAAGGTGTTATAGTGAACCCCTAGATAATTCTCAACCAGGGTGCTGTGAGATCTTTCTAAGGGTGACATGCAATATTAGCACTGCTAAGTATGCAACACCTACACATGATTCTCAAAGTAAACCCAAAGATTTCAAATAGGAATCTGAAGTATCAAAAAACACTCTGACCTGCTGCAGTCTTGCTGAGTTCTTTGCAACAGAAGAATTGTTCTATTATTTTTGCATTGTCAAAAAATGCCACCTAAGAGTGCAAGGTGGCAAAGGTCTACAGCAAGGCAGCAGCCCTAGATTTTAGAAGGGCGGACTTCAATGAGCTAAGGAGAATAGTCGGGGAAGCACTGAGGTCACTGAGGGGAGGGGAGCCAGGTGTCCAAGAAGAGTAGTCGCTCCTTAAGGAGACGATCCTCCAAGCCCAAAGGG